ACTGTGTAGATTCCAAATCCAGCATGTCCAAATTAACACTGTCGGATTTGATTTCAACACTATTAAAGTGTCTATATGGGTCCACACCAGAGAGTGTTAATTTAACTCTTTTTGGAGAGTTGGTACGTTAACTCTGATTTAGTGTTAAACACCAAATCTGTCTGGAGTTGATAATTTAACACTTGGTGTTAAGAGTTTATATATTAACTCTCAAAGAGTATTTTAGTTTAACTACGTAAGAGTTATCTTCTAGTTCATTCTAAAAAGCGGGAATTTTACTGTTCTGAACTTCTAGAAATTTCTTTTGGAAATAAACATTTACTAAAAAGACGCAATGGTTTTTGAAAAACATTTATTCTGAATTGTGCACCACAATTTCAAAACATTGTCTGAAAGATGTAACAGTGTACATGTTCTCACTTTCATTAGAATTTTGTTTATTAAAAGGTCTGACATAGGTGAGCTGGTAAATGCAAATAACAGCATTCTCATTACTTATTTCTTCAATACAATATGCATGTCCTTCATTCATCCCTTTGTGGAACTTCAACGCACTTCTGCTCTCCCCCATATTCCATCTTCACAAGCATATCCTATGTGGAGACTGAATAAAAATTAGTTGACACTAATTAATGGTACAAATAATCCAGTAATCAATTGCAGCACAGTAAAAAAAGGAATCCTTTTTGAGCCATTATTTGTGTAAAGTATTTTCCCAAAAGACAAGGACACAGGCAACAGGTAATACTGAACTAAATGCACATGGTTAAACTATTTATAAGAATTTGTTTAAAGAGATGGAATGGAGAACGTGGCTGCAGCTAGGAGTGTCAGCAGAGAGCAGGAACCAGAGGAAAAGCTATCGAGAGACTGATCACCTGGGTCGTGATGGGAACAGTCCAATGGGAATTCTGCATCAATCAGTCAGCGTAATGCCTAAAAGTTTATTCAGATGTAAATATATTAAATTCTTAAAATGAAGAATATGAAAAAAAATCATCAGTGTTTTTAACGACACTGCATTTCATTCATGTGTCTCTATTGGACAGTGTTGTAGAAGTTACAGGAGATAGGAATCAGTTCCACCTTGGCCTGACGTTTGATCACGTTTGGTTGTACTGGCTTTGAGCCTGTTTGTGATACGCTACATCCACATGATACAGCTACTCTAGCTTTTTTTGAAGTGTCGTGAAATATTTTGCTTAAATGTTCTGCAGAACGGATGCAGCGCACATACAGTACAGATATTATCTGAAACAGCATTACACAGTGTTACACCTACTTTACAGTTTCACCACAGTGCAACGTCTCTCAGTATTGTTGAGATGTTTTCTATTATTATGTCCAGTATCAAATTTCTGCTGTACGCAAATCTTTCTATTCTCTCTTTTTCTTCTGTGTGAGGGATTCCTGCATTAATCATGCAGCTTAGAAACTTCATATGCACACCGTGAAAACACCTCCAAATAAATTCAGTGAAAGGTTGTCGAGATAAGGTTGTCTAAAACATTTATGAATGAACTTGTATAGAAAGTGTTTCTAGGAAACATTATCTAACACTTCTACATTCTTTAAAAAAAGTATGCTTGGTTTAACTTTCAAATAACCAATGAACCAGTCCATCAGCTCAAAGCTATTGTACATTACTGCATTTTTGTCATAATTAGTGGTAAAATTGAATGATGATGAGATGCTCCCCACTCATATAATTACAAATATGGGAAAATATGCTCACTTTACTTTTGCTATCAATGGCTTGGCACTATTAACAGGTTGTACCACATACGACATGGGCAAGAGTATGAGGCAACAACTCTTAACTGACATCAGCACAAAAACTGTACATCAGGAGCTTCATGTCACTGGTTTCCATTAATGTTTAATTCTTGTCAGACAGAAACAGAAACAGACAGCACATGTTGTAGTATAGTGACTCTGAACTTTTTAATATAATAACATACTGTAGTTCCAAATGCTTGGTACACTGTTCACTGATACAGCAGGATGACCAGATGAAGAAACACTGTCAGACTTTAACAAATGCTACGCAGTCAAATCATTTCATGTATAACAGTCTATACTTAGTGGTTGATGTGAGAATCGCAGGTAGATATTCTCAGAATCTGCAGCACAATCCACAGACACCAGCATTGCAGCAGCCGCAGCAAAAGCGACACTTCATGCCACGCTTCTGTCTGTGGTACGGCATCTGTGTGAAAGAGGAGAAGAGCAGAGAGTTTATCTTCAGCTGCAAGTCACTTCATTGTTTCTAATTTTATGAAAAGTTGTGAGTGCACAGTTTATTTTAAACATCTCCCTGCATTTGAGAGATCTCACAATTACTGTCTTCATTCATTTATTGAAGTAAACTCACCACCCATGAGTCAGCTGATACCTCCTGATGTTCAGCAGCTGGACTGTCAGTGCTCACAGCCTCTTGTAGCTCTTGCAGTTCTCGTATCTGTAGAGAAAGAAAACAGATCTTAGCATCTTCACAACAAATTCATGCAGAAGAAGCACATTACATGAATTTAACACAGTATGTAACCTCAGCAAATGTGGCAGAGCTCTGCTGAATGCAAATACACATGAGTGCAACAGCCACTGCAACTGCAACGCTGAACGTCTCCATCTTCAGGAGGTTTGAGTGGTTTAAGGTGGTCAGATCCTTTGACTCTCTCGTTGACTCTTGTCAGCGCCTTTGTGATGGTTGACTGAGGGAAACGGTGCTGGTATTTATACTCATTTGCTCCACTGCTGCCTCGTCACTTAGAGTACAGAAACTACTGTCGGGAACAGGCTTGCATCAATAGGACAGGGAAAACCCATATAGTTAAACATCCGAAGGTCAAAGTTCATGCCGACTGAGAAAAGTACAGATTTTCTCCTTCCTCAGGAATTTTCCATTCCCAGAATTTCATAGCACAGGAAAATACGGAGTTTTGCAATGTTCCTGAAATCAGGTAGAGTAAGAGCTGTGAGTGACGAGGCAGCAGGGGCCCAAATCAGTATAAATATCAGCACTTCTGCACACATTAACCATCAGACAGAAGGACTCAGCTCACAACAATCATCCGGACCAGGAGAAAGAGTCGAACTTGAGCCTCTCAAAGCCTCCTAAGATGAAGACGTTCAGTGTTGCAGTTGCAGTGGCCGTCGTGCTCACATTCATTTGTGTTCAGCAGAGCTCTGCTGTCCCAGTCACTGAAGTAAGAACTTGACTTTAACCAAGTGTATTAGCTTACAAGCTGCAAATGTTTGTTTCAGTGCTACAATGTGGTTTCTACTGCACTCAATTCATTAACAGGAGCAGGAGCTGGAGGAGCCAATGAGCATGGACTATCCAGCAGCAGCACATGAGGAGGCATCAGTGGACTCATGGAAGGTAAGTAACACTAACTGAGTGAAGGTGGCCAAATTACTTCAGCTAAATGAAAGTGTTTGTTAGAGCAGGTGAAAATAAAGAGCAGTGATGCTGCTGCAGATGAACTCTGTGCTCATGTCTCTGGTGTTTCCCACAGACGCTGTATAACAGCAGACACAAGCGTGGCATCAAGTGTCGCTTTTGCTGTGGCTGCTGCACCCCCGGTATCTGTGGAGTTTGCTGCAGGTTCTGAGGATTCCTGCTCCCACAACCACTCAGCATTAACAAACTGTATGTCACAGTTAATGTGTGAGATTCTACTGTTTTAGTAACATTGTGTCCTCAGTTACTGCCTCAACTACGTGCTTGTATTACACAGTTTATCACAATAAACTTTATGGTCATTTAGATATAATGTGGATTTTTGTTGTCATTTTAAATGTCGTATTTTCCTTTGTTACATTTGTAAAACTGACTGCTATGCACCGTCCATCCATCAATTCATCCATCAAAGCTGCCATAGGGCTACAGGCAGGGTATATCCTGGACAGTGTTAACACATAGAGAGAAAAGCATTCATGATCACAGTAACCCCTGTAACTGATTCAAAATCACAATTTAACCAAACACCAAAGTGTTCTGACATTTGAGGGGAGACTCTCCAAAATATTCTATTTTTATTTCAAACACATACGCAGTTGGTTACATATGGTTAAAATGATTCAAATGCAGTAAATATATACATTTTTCATATAAATAGAGTCCATAACTTGATTATTGTCTGTAGCCCACATAATTAAACACTTTAGTTAGATAAAACATGTGAGTTTTGATGTTATGTACTGTATAGCCTGTGTAATAAATAAACATGTAGCCCAATAAGTATAAAATCCAGAAAGCTACACAACATGGGGCAGTTCATTTACAAACACAAGTGTAACTTGAGTTTCACACTGTTTTTTGTTAGAAAATAATCAAATTGTTAAATGCTTAAAGTACACAAAACGTCAGAAATCTGCACTGTCATGAACAACAATGTAAACCTAATTTTTGGATTAACCCTCCGAAGTCTGAATCCCAGCTTGTGCACATCAACCTCACCGATTTGCACAAATACAGTTTATAATGAAGACATGTTAAATATTAAGCACTGAAAACAGTTTGGTTGTTGTTGTTTGGAACGTCATTTAATGCATGTTGTTTTGTCGCCATAGTGATGCCTCCAGGGGAAAATTAGGGAGCAGAGCAAGAATAAGACTGTGGATATATGTTTTGATAGCTTTGGGTTCTCTTTGTTTTTGCCTAACAATCATAAAGAAATGTATTATATTTTGTGTATGTCCTCATTATTGAGCTTTAACCCTGCATAAAGGCCAAGATGAATCTCTTAGAGTAGAACTTTACAGTAACTATTAGAATAAAAAAAAAACACACACATTGACTGCTTTAGTTTTTAAGATTCACTTCTGTCTTAAGTATTTTTTGTCTCCATATAAGATATCAAAATCTGTGCATACAACTTGATGTAAAAAGAATCTATGTACATTCCGCAGTCTATGATGCTAGAATGGCATCGCAGCATTTAAACATGTTTTGAATGAAAACATCAGCATATGAAAACAAAACTGAAGAGACACTGCAACCGTATGAAGGAAGACGACTATTTAGTGAAATTTCTACATTTCCCTGAGGATTAACTGCTCTGTAACTTACCAAGAACTAAAGTAAGTTCAAATTTCATTTTATAGACTTAAGATCATTTACTTAAATATAAAGCCTGATTTTCCTGCCTGCCAGGACAGTATTTATGTACTTTACATTGTGCAAGTCTAGACTATATTTTACATCATAGAGAGGATGATGTGGCTCTATTATTCAGGAAAACAAATGAAGACTTAACTATTTGTCAGCTGTTGTAATATTTGACAAATTATACATAAATTAGAAAATGTTCTTAATCATATCTTACAGTGACAGAAGCTCTGCTGTTAATCTTAGTATCTGCAGTTTTTACACGCTTACATAAACACACGCAGTTACTGTCCCTCCATTTAGAAAGACAGAGGCATCAGAGTGAGCATCATTCAACACAGACGCTCTCACAACACAAATCCTGACGTCGGTTTGCAATAAATGTAATTTAAAAAATTTACATTCATGTATGCTATATGCATTTTGTCCATTCCAAAGTTGTGAGTCTATACCAGCCAAAATGCTGTCTTTAGCTATTAACATTTGAAATGATGAAGGCACTTGAAAGTAACACAACATTAGCTGCCTTTCCAGAAAAAGACAAAAACCTTTCAGAAGTATAGTATGTAAGGTTTTGTGAGGTTTTCCTCCCAGGCTTCTAGACTTCTGATTGGCCAACATTTCTACACGGTTAGGATTTGGCATATTCCTGACTTTGTTTTTAGGGTTTACATGTGGAAGGAGATATTTTTTCAAAACTGCACATGTGGACGGGATTTTTTTTAAACGAAAAAGGAAAATTTCCGTTTACAAAAGTGCCCGTGTACGTGTGGACGTAGCCTAAAGTTATCACAAAAAAAGCAAATTCGCTGAACATTCTGAGTTGTTTAGTGATCATTGTTGTTTTCTGTTCCTTGTAGTCAAAATGAATGGAAGCGGAGATGGATCACAAAATAACCGTAATGGTAAGCACATGCACTCAGTCGTAAAATTGATGAAAAACTGATTTTCAGCAGATGTTTATGAATGCTAATTAAAAGATAAAATGATCTTGCAGGCCGACAGGTTAACCCAGAAATGTTTCCAAGAGGAGATCAGGAGCCAGCTTACGAACCTGTTGGTGGAATCTGGGGTTTACTGGAAAGACTTTATGTTACTCTCTATGATATCTTTTTTTGGAGGCTGACTGAGCTACTAGATGAATTAGAGGATCGATATGATGTCTTATATATTGACTTTCACAATGTCAATGACGGCAATGTCAACAATGTAAACAATCACAATATTAATGTGAGAGACAATGATGCCAATGTTGACAACAATGAACTGCATGATGATCATAATGCTGTTGTTGTTGTCGGCATTGAAAATGACGATTCTGATGAGGCATTTGAAGACTGTGAGGATGTTCACCCGTACATCCCAGAAGAGGATCCTCAGCCAGGTGTATCCAGGAAGAGGTCTAGAGAGATGGATGTGGAAGATGTGGAGCCCAACAAAAGAATCAGATGGAGCGAGGAGTTTTCTGATGATGACTCTGACTTCATCTCTGCCTGTGATACTGATAGCGAGGGCTGTCCTCATCTTGGTAATATTGCTGATGAGGTACCGCTGTTTGTTGGATCCACGAAAAGGTCCAGAAAGGAAGATGGAGATGAAGAAGAGCCTAATAGCAAAAGATCCAGGCTCGCAAACTCTGATTCGGGGACCAGCTCAATTGTGTATGATCACTCTGAGAGCAGTAGTGATGAACTCTTTGAAGATGCCCATGAAGAGACTGACAACCATGAAACTGGAGGCTCGAGGAAAAGGTCCAGAGAGGATTTGGAAGAAGAAGAGGAATGCTTGCACGTTTGCAAATTTCGGAGGTGTTCAAATGAGTCCACCAGCACCCGTGATGACAACTAACACTATTTCAACGGGATTTTTCTGTATCCTTTTAGTAGGCTGATGGCCTACTCAGGTGACCCTAAATCCTCCCTTGGTTTTGCTGCCAGAAGTTGGGCATACACTGTGCAATTTTTTCAGTCGCGATATTCAGCTCCTGTTCAAACTCTCCGATTGACTCGTAGGGGTTAGAAGTTCGTAGGTCACGATGCAGGGTCTCATACTATACGGCCCGATGCTCTGTGCAACCTGAGTGCTCACACTGTTCGTCCATAGCATGAAGGTTATAACACAAAATTTTACACTATTTTCACGGTTGTTGTGGTCGCGATAATTTTGTGAAGTCACATCGAAAAGGCTCGGATGAGCTTGGCAGTTCTACAAGTTGTGCCTCCATCGCTTGTGTCCGGATCACACGCTGCACTGCCGTGCTGTTCTGTCTTTTCGCTTTCATCTCTGTGTTTGCGCGTGCGCAGTGAGTGACGCTGCGTTGACACCCTCACAACAGCCGACAGGATTTCAAACAGGTTTGATTTTCTTACGACCAAATGACTGATGATCAGGAGCTGATCGTGAGGTGTTAATCACTTCTCGTCACCCCATGTATACGATGCACGACACACGATTAAGGCCAAACTCGGGTCGATCCCCAAAACGGTTGCACGACTGAAAAATCGGCTCAAAATGGGCCAAAAATCGCACAGTGTATGTCCAGCATTAGGCGTAGGCTGCTGGGGGATTCCCATGATGCACTGGGTGTTTCTTCTTCACCCACTATGTGTTAATAGACCTCTCTGCACTGAATTGTACTTGTTGTTAACCTCTGGCTCTCTTCCACAGAATGTCTTTATCCTGTTTTCCTTCCCCCTCCCCAACCGGTCGCAGCAGATGGCCGCCCCTCCCTGAGCCTGGTTCTGCTGGAGGTTTCTTCCTGTTAAAAGGGAGTTTTTCCTTCCCACTGTCGCCAAAGTGCTTGCTCATAGGGGGTCATTTGATTGTTGGGTTTTTCTTTGTAAGTATACCTTACAATATAAAGCACCTTGAGGTGACTGTTACTGTGATTTGGCACTATATAAAAAAAATTGAATTGAATTTAAAATTTGAATGGATGTGACTGTGTAGATTCCAAATCCAGCATGTCCAAATTAACACTGTCGGATTTGATTTCAACACTATTAAAGTGTCTATATGGGTCCACACCAGAGAGTGTTAATTTAACTCTTTTTGGAGAGTTGGTACGTTAACTCTGATTTAGTGTTAAACACCAAATCTGTCTGGAGTTGATAATTTAACACTTGGTGTTAAGAGTTTATATATTAACTCTCAAAGAGTATTTTAGTTTAACTACGTAAGAGTTATCTTCTAGTTCATTCTAAAAAGCGGGAATTTTACTGTTCTGAACTTCTAGAAATTTCTTTTGGAAATAAACATTTACTAAAAAGACGCAATGGTTTTTGAAAAACATTTATTCTGAATTGTGCACCACAATTTCAAAACATTGTCTGAAAGATGTAACAGTGTACATGTTCTCACTTTCATTAGAATTTTGTTTATTAAAAGGTCTGACATAGGTGAGCTGGTAAATGCAAATAACAGCATTCTCATTACTTATTTCTTCAATACAATATGCATGTCCTTCATTCATCCCTTTGTGGAACTTCAACGCACTTCTGCTCTCCCCCATATTCCATCTTCACAAGCATATCCTATGTGGAGACTGAATAAAAATTAGTTGACACTAATTAATGGTACAAATAATCCAGTAATCAATTGCAGCACAGTAAAAAAAAGGAATCCTTTTTGAGCCATTATTTGTGTAAAGTATTTTCCCAAAAGACAAGGACACAGGCAACAGGTAATACTGAACTAAATGCACATGGTTAAACTATTTATAAGAATTTGTTTAAAGAGATGGAATGGAGAACGTGGCTGCAGCTAGGAGTGTCAGCAGAGAGCAGGAACCAGAGGAAAAGCTATCGAGAGACTGATCACCTGGGTCGTGATGGGAACAGTCCAACGGGAATTTTGCATCAATCAGTCAGCGTAATGCCTAAAAGTTTATTCTGATGTAAATATATTAAATTCTTAAAATGAAGAATATGAAAAAAAATCATCAGTGTTTTTAACGACACTGCATTTCATTCATGTGTCTCTATTGGACAGTGTTGTAGAAGTTACAGGAGATAGGAATCAGTTCCACCTTGGCCTGACGTTTGATCACGTTTGGTTGTACTGGCTTTGAGCCTGTTTGTGATACGCTACATCCACATGATACAGCTACTCTAGCTTTTTTTGAAGTGTCGTGAAATATTTTGCTTAAATGTTCTGCAGAACGGATGCAGCGCACATACAGTACAGATTTTATCTGAAACAGCATTACACAGTGTTACACCTACTTTACAGTTTCACCACAGTGCAACGTCTCTCAGTATTGTTGAGATGTTTTCTATTATTATGTCCAGTATCAAATTTCTGCTGTACGCAAATCTTTCTATTCTCTCTTTTTCTTCTGTGTGAGGGATTCCTGCATTAATCATGCAGCTTAGAAACTTCATATGCACACCGTGAAAACACCTCCAAATAAATTCAGTGAAAGGTTGTCGAGATAAGGTTGTCTAAAACATTTATGAATGAACTTGTATAGAAAGTGTTTCTAGGAAACATTATCTAACACTTCTACATTCTTTAAAAAAAAGTATGCTTGGTTTAACTTTCAAATAACCAATGAACCAGTCCATCAGCTCAAAGCTATTGTACATTACTGCATTTTTGTCATAATTAGTGGTAAAATTGAATGATGATGAGATGCTCCCCACTCATATAATTACAAATATGGGAAAATATGCTCACTTTACTTTTGCTATCAATGGCTTGGCTCTATTAACAGGTTGTACCACATACGACATGGGCAAGAGTATGAGGCAACAACTCTTAACTGACATCAGCACAAAAACTGTACATCAGGAGCTTCATGTCACTGGTTTCCATTAATGTTTAATTCTTGTCAGACAGAAACAGAAACAGACAGCACATGTTGTAGTATAGTGACTCTGAACTTTTTAATATAATAACATACTGTAGTTCCAAATGCTTGGTACACTGTTCACTGATACAGCAGGATGACCAGATGAAGAAACACTGTCAGACTTTAACAAATGCTAAGCAGTCAAATCATTTCATGTATAACAGTCTATACTTAGTGGTTGATGTGAGAATCGCAGGTAGATATTCTCAGAATCTGCAGCACAATCCACAGACACCAGCATTGCAGCAGCCGCAGCAAAAGCGACACTTCATGCCACGCTTCTGTCTGTGGTACGGCATCTGTGTGAAAGAGGAGAAGAGCAGAGAGTTTATCTTCAGCTGCAAGTCACTTCATTGTTTCTAATTTTATGAAAAGTTGTGAGTGCACAGTTTATTTTAAACATCTCCCTGCATTTGAGAGATCTCACAATTACTGTCTTCATTCATTTATTGAAGTAAACTCACCACCCATGAGTCAGCTGATACCTCCTGATGTTCAGCAGCTGGACTGTCAGTGCTCACAGCCTCTTGTAGCTCTTGCAGTTCTCGTATCTGTAGAGAAAGAAAACAGATCTTAGCATCTTCACAACAAATTCATGCAGAAGAAGCACATTACATGAATTTAACACAGTATGTAACCTCAGCAAATGTGGCAGAGCTCTGCTGAATGCAAATACACATGAGTGCAACGGCCACTGCAACTGCAACGCTGAACGTCTCCATCTTCAGGAGGTTTGAGTGGTTTAAGGTGGTCAGATCCTTTGACTCTCTCGTTGACTCTTGTCAGCGCCTTTGTGATGGTTGACTGAGGGAAACGGTGCTGGTATTTATACTCATTTGCTCCACTGCTGCCTCGTCACTTAGAGTACAGAAACTACTGTCGGGAACAGGCTTGCATCAATAGGACAGGGAAAACCCATATAGTTAAACATCCGAAGGTCAAAGTTCATGCCGACTGAGAAAAGTACAGATTTTCTCCTTCCTCAGGAATTTTCCATTCCCAGAATTTCATAGCACAGGAAAATACGGAGTTTTGCAATGTTCCTGAAATCAGGTAGAGTAAGAGCTGTGAGTGACGAGGCAGCAGGGGCCCAAATCAGTATAAATATCAGCACTTCTGCACACATTAACCATCAGACAGAAGGACTCAGCTCACAACAATCATCCGGACCAGGAGAAAGAGTCGAACTTGAGCCTCTCAAAGCCTCCTAAGATGAAGACGTTCAGTGTTGCAGTTGCAGTGGCCGTCGTGCTCACATTCATTTGTGTTCAGCAGAGCTCTGCTGTCCCAGTCACTGAAGTAAGAACTTGACTTTAACCAAGTGTATTAGCTTACAAGCTGCAAATGTTTGTTTCAGTGCTACAATGTGGTTTCTACTGCACTCAATTCATTAACAGGAGCAGGAGCTGGAGGAGCCAATGAGCATGGACTATCCAGCAGCAGCACATGAGCAGATATTAGTGGACTCATGGAAGGTAAGTAACACTAACTGAGTGAAGGTGGCCAAATTACTTCAGCTAAATGAAAGTGTTTGTTAGAGCAGGTGAATATAAAGAGCAGTGATGCTGCTGCAGATGAACTCTGTGCTCATGTCTCTTGTGTTTCCCACAGACGCTGTATAACAGCAGACACAAGCGTGGCATCAAGTGTCGCTTTTGCTGTGGCTGCTGCACCCCCGGTATCTGTGGAGTTTGCTGCAGGTTCTGAGGATTCCTGCTCCAACAACCACTCAATATTAACAAACTGTATGTCACAGTTAATGTGTGAGATTATACTGTTTTAGTAACATTGTGTCCTCAGTTACTGCCTCAACCACGTGCTTGTATTGCACAGTTTATCACAATAAACTTTTAATTTAAGTGCAATGTGCATTTTTGTTGTCATTTTAAATGTAGCTTTTTCCTTTATTAGGCCTTTAAAAATGGCCATCCATCCATCTATCCATTTACATAACCACTTTCTTGTGGGGTGGGCTGGACAGTGTTCACACACAGAGAAACAAGCACTCAAAGTACAAAAGCTATGTCTGGAGCAGTCTTGCATCAGTGGGACTGGGAAATTCCACTGCATCGGAAATGGGAAATTATCCATGTTTGTTTCTTTGCTCTACAACTCCAAGTTTCTTTTTTCAAGCATCATTCTGATACTTTTATTGAAGAACCAAAATATGTACTATTTATATCATTATCATTGATACGTTGTTTCCCTATAATAACTTCAAAAATTTTAATGGCTCATGAAAGAATTCTTTAAACCAACCAAACGGATGAAAACAGATCAGGATCTCGAATGTTTATTTGCTGCAGATAATAACTTTTTAAATACTCAGATTCAATCCGTCAAACTGTGGATGTCATTTGTGAGTTCATTTAAGAATGATGAGATAAGCATATAACCAATATTCTGAAAGCACTGCATGACGTGTTGAGTCCTGTAGAAAATGCGCTTCTGTAGTTGAGTTAAAGAAAAGCTATAAACTCTTTCTTCTATGTTTAGATTTCATACCCAGTATAAAGTGCCTAATACAAGCACTGGATTTGTATTAGGCACTGGACTACTACTGGATTTACAGCTGTGTGTGAACCAGCAAAGACAGGCTTACATTTGCATAAACTAAGTTGTTATATTACATCTTAACTCTGTCTTAGTTGCTGGTTCTAATTTCTAAAACCTGTCAGACTCACAGTAAAAGTGCCTCATAGAACCATAGTGTAAGCAACATTTACAGTTACTGTACATAAAACAAAAGAAGGCCTACATCTAAACAGAATTATTATCTCTTAACTCTTCCTTGGCTGCTGTATTTATTTTCTGAAACCTGTCTGGTGTGCTGCTCAATGTTGTTTAAGCAGCTAGGACACGTTTTGTCGCTCATAACTCACAATGGTTCAGCCTGCTCTCACGGGTGAACTTGCAACACTCTGTATTCCCAGCATCTATGCTTGAGCCTGCAGCTTGGAAATTCCAAGTGAAAGGCAAGCCTGCATTTGCTTGTTCACCATAGTTTGTCCTCAAATACCAAAGCAAAAGGAAAGTAATGCTGATTCTTTGAGATATAATGACAAACACGCATAACACACAAAATTATTTTTTTTAAAGAAGATGGATATATAATGGTGCTGCAGTTGTTTGTATTGCAGTTGCTCACTATTGAGTCCATCCCTCCATCTATTAATCGATCCACCCTCTTATGGTGTTCCTATATTTAGCTTATTGTTGACCATTCATTGTGAATAGCTGTGTAATGGGTTTCATTTTAGGGCTTTTGCCTTTTGGTTCGGGGTCTGTGCACCTGCAAACCGTGAGTGGAGCAGCTCATTTATGTGCTGAAACACCTTGCGAATAAATCCAAGAATCTGTGTGTGTGTTTTTGTGTATACTGTATACTGTAAAGTAGCAGTACTAGTGCAGTGTCCAATGATGTGATAAATCATATGAGCATTCATAAGCCACCCGCTTTGTTTATTTTCCTGTTTACAACTTTTTCACCCCCACAGAAGCTAGTGCTATGGAAGCCCATTTCTGCCCAAAAAAAAAGTATTCATAACTCAAAATTTCGACTCATTAACTCGAAATGTAGCTCAAAATTTTTAATTAATAAGTCGAAATCAGTAATCTACGTGAATGACGTCTTTTCCTTGTTACCTGGAAGCTGAAGCCCTCAGCTACAAATGCTACAGCTAAGCTACCAGTGTTACAGCCAGTCGTGAATGCACAAATTGCTGATTATTTTCAGCGTGACTTCACAAATGATGAAATCCTTGAGTTATTAGCGGAATCACATGGCGTTTCGATCAGCAAACGTACTCCTGAAAGCGCCAATTAGTTGTGATCCGGTTTTGAGTGTGCATTCCACGTAGATTGTTGATTGGCAGAGCTAACTCGAAATTTTGACTTACTTTTCTCAAAATTTGGAATTAATACATTGAAATTTTGAATTTATAAGTCGAAATTTCAAGAAAATGAGTCAAAATTTTGAGTTAATAAGTCGAAATCTTGAGAAAGATAACTTGAAATTCCAAGTTATGGATACTTTTTTTTTTGTGGCAGAAACGGGCTTCCATAAGTTTCAGTAGTCAGTAAAAGCACGGATAAAACAATCTACTGTCTGAAGCAAAAGTAACACCTGACACCTAACAGGATTCTGTTTGATTTTGTGCGAAAGACAAGAGCAAAATGTCAAGAGCCTGCAGTATGAGCCGATCCCTTAGCATACCCCCCCCTCCCCCGCCCCCCCTTTTCTCCTGTGGAGAGAGGCATTGGGAAAATATGTTTTAAAAGAACCACACATACACACACACACACACACACACGCACGCACACACTTATATTTGAGTGATTTTACAGTCATTGTTTTAATTGAATGAATTGAGCACACCAACTGTGAGTCAGCTAACATCTCCTTATGTTAGCTGACTCACAGTTGCAACTGGACTGTCATTGCTTGTTGCCCCCGATAGCTCTTGTGGCTGCTTAAAGAAAACCAGATGTTAGTGTCTTGGCTGCTCATTCATGAATTTAAGTCGGCCTGTTTCGGCAAATGTAGCAGAGCTCTCCTGAAGGGCCCCTGCAACTGCAACATGTTATGTCTTCATTTTCAGGAAGGTTGAATGGTTTATGTTGGTCAGATCCTCTGACTGGCTTCTGTCAGCTCCTTTGTGATGCTTGGCTGCGGTAAAAGGTGTTGGTATTTATACTCATTTGGTCCAAGGTGCCTCATTAGTCACAGTGTAGCATTTCACGACCAGCTTACATCAGCAGTACTCTTAAACTGCGCAGTGTTTTGCTCTGAAAGCATGTATCCTTCAGCAGTGTTGTACAGGAGGCTGTGCAGTGCTCAGGTCTGACCTAACAGGGTGGTATAATTTCATTCAGCTGTCTACGTTGGCTATAAAATATATATATATTCTAAAAAGAAAAAAAAGAATTTAAACTGAATAGATAACAGCCTTTTCACCTCTTATGATGTTCATATATCTGTAACTGTATAAAAGGGCCCAAAGTTCACAGGACAATTCTATTTGAATTCTGATACAGGTGTTTGTAAGTTTATATAAGTTTATAAACTGTTCATTTAATATTTAACCTTCTGTTAGTTTGATCCAGCCCACTGTCTGGTGACATCATCCAGTTAGTAAGATGGCCAGTTTCATGTCGGACGAGCAGTGTTGGTCCGGTGGGGGTGCACTGATTCCTGTAGGATGTGATGTGTGCGTGAATGATAAAAAGCCACACACACCCCCCCTGTGATTACAACCACAGGAATTGAGCTGTAAGTATAAAGTGCTTCAAACCAAACCTCAAGTTCCTTCTTCCATACTTTTTGACAATTTGGCCTTAGGTGGTGTTCTGGCCGACACACCGGGGTGACCATATTTTTAAAGAGTGAATCAGTGCCACAACCGTGCCTATCCCTGATATCTCCACTCCAGTAACATTAATGGAGAGTTTCTTAGCATCTTTAGTACTCGATGATTTCTAAACACTTGTTGTACAATGTGCTACATGTCTGAGACAACATGCCTTTTGTCCTGTCTTCTTTCTCTCACCCCAACAGATGGCCGCCCCTCCCTGAGCCTGGTTCTGTTTGAGGTTTCTTCCTGTTAAAAGAGAGTTTTTCCTTCCACTGTCGCCAACATGCTTGCTCATAAGGGGGTCATATGATTGTTGGGTTTTTCTCTGCATTATTATTATTGTATCTTACATTCTTCCTTACAATGATGCTAGAAAGATGCGACTGTTATTGTGATTTGGCACTGTTTAAATAAAACTGAATTGAATTAAGACACACAAATATAAATTTGTGTGTTAATTATATTTATTTAATCTATATTTCTAAGCACCTTTAAAACAATGACTTATTGATGTTAGAAATTGATACACATATTAATGACTTTGGAGATATGTAACTTTGGTTTTTTTTTAATTTTCCTCTCACCTCTGATCTGACACTGAAGCGCTGCTGTTACCTTTCAGACAGAAGCAGACAGATGATTATAAGTTTCACTTTTTTTAACATTAAATATATATATATATATATATATACAGAATACATAGAGTTCAATTGATTACATTTGTTTTATTATTTATTTGATAATAGTTTACATGTTACTGGCACTTACTTTAATATACCACAGACTCAGACTGAGATAAAAACAACATAGCCTTTAGGAGCTGCGTGAGATGTCGCAGACTCACCTGTGTGGACTCACCTGCAGGTCGAACTGAACATGCTTTGAAAGAAAAGATGCAGTTTGGTTCCTCTGAGGATGGAGGAAAAGATCTGTCAGAGTCTTGCAGAGTAACTGCTTATATCTGCAGCGGAGTGGAGACGTCAGAGCAGGACGCCTCTTTACACACTCAACAATTATGCGATAAAATTTCACCCAAACTGCCAGTGTGTGTTTCATTTAAAACAGTTAATCTGTCATCAGCGCAGGTGAATGGAAATGTGTGTAATGTGTGTTTTAATTTACTGATCCACCCAGTCATTAAGCAAATGTTTATCTTTCGGTGGAGCACCTTGAATACTTCATGTTCCTCTTGTAGTCATGGAACAGTAAAGAGGTGGTTTGCACATATTTCTACATAAATACAACATTGCTCTTTGGTGTGTACTAAGAATAGAGAAAAATGAGAAAAAATGATCTGAAATGAAAGTGGAAATGTGAACACAATTCTGGAAGCATGATGGTCAATGTAACACTTCAATTCAACTTCCACTGGTCTCACTCAAAAATCATTCTGTTTAATCTCTGAACACAGACTGGATCATTTAGCAAGCTTTGTTCACCTACACGAACGCTGAACTTTTCTAGCAACATGTCTTAAAAATTGATTTATTTTTCCAGGGTTTAAAGGCACA